TTCTGTAAGTTATAATATGATTTACGTGGTGGACTATGGCGCGTGATTCGATATTACACACTATTGAAGGCCTTAAAGGCTGATTTAAATAGTGAGAACAATAAACGAATACTTCTTTTAAACATTGCTGCTTTAGTTGGGGAATGTTCTGGTGTTGCATATTAGCTTTGAGCCATATTTTTTGAAGAATATAAGTTTTTAACTTTCTTAATATATATTTAGATCGAGAATTCTAAATTCTCAATCAACACTTTAATAAAATAGTTTCGAGTTAAACAACACTTATGCTTACATCAAAAAACTGCCTTTACTTAGGCCACATCCACGTCTTCCTGCTCCTCGTCCACCACATCATCGACACTCATTCCGTACAATTCCAGGTCGTGCTTCTTAAGATGTGCCGTATAAGCATCTAGTTCCGTGAATCTCTGCTGACACTCACAGCATTCCAAACAATCTTCTACAGAACTCTCGCCATCATCCTCACTTTCGTAAGTGGACGATTTTTGGCTACTCAGTTGATCAAGATGACTTGTTTTGTGATCAGCGTATTCCAGGTAGTCCCTGAACTTGGAGGGACACCTCAAGCACTTGTACCACCGATCTCTGATATGAGTGACCATGTGTTTTTTGAGGGTTGAACACTCCCTAAAGGGTTTCCTGCACTTTGAGCAACTAAAAGGCTTCTCTCCAGTATGAATCATATAGTGGCGTTTAAGATTGTGACGAGTTCCAAAAGGACGATGACATAAAGGGCAGGGATAAGATCTGCGACTACGATTAATGGGTTTTCCCGATATATTTCCATCATTGCTCAGGGAAGATGAGGAGTTGGCACTGCTGCAACTCCGAGGAAGCGGCGGTCGACTTGGCTGGGTGGTTTGGGAAACCTTTTCCGGTGGAGATAGAATAGGTGGTATTAAAGTAACCATCAAAGTGGGTGGTGGCACTCGTTGTGGTTGCTCCTCTTCTTCTGGTTCCTCCTCTTCCTCCAGGTCATCCTCATCATCTTCCATCTCCTCAGCTTGCTCCTCCGGAATTCCCTCGCCCAATTCCTCCGGCTGAGGTTTCACCATGAGGTTCTTGCTCTCACAGTCTGCACACCTAGTGGAGTCCTGCTCCAAAGGTTGCCCCAAGTGACAGATCATACAGATGAATCGAGGATCGTGTGAGTGCCTCCGACGATGCTTTTTAAGATCGCTGAACTCCCGAAAACGACGCTCGCATAGATCACAAGGAAAAGGTCGCTCACCTAGAAAAACCAAAATAAAAGTATATCAGTTGACGTATACATTACCTATACATTAAGATGTTGTTACCTGTATGTATCATCATGTGACGTCTGAGATTGTAATTAGATTGCACTTTTTTTCCGCAGTCAGGACATTCGAACAGATGACGCCCCCTTCTATTGACATAAGGGCGTCTCTTCACTGATCTCCGAGAGTTGGAAGATTTCTTCCTGATCACACGTTCAGACTCCTGCTCCTCCTCTTGGTCAGAGGGCACGATGATCACCTGATCCTGGGGACTCTGATTCTGGAATTCCATCTGTTCCTGTTCGTTTAAGATACAACGAACTGTATTTGACGGAAGATTCACCTCTTCCTCTCCCTCGCTATTTGGATCCTGATCACTATCGCTCAGCTCGATTTCTGCTACAATTCTGTGCTCTTGTCTAGGAATCAGTTCGATATCTGGGGATATCCGTTTTATGGAAGAATTCCACTGTGCTAAGCTCCGGGCAGCGCTGATGATCAAACCCTTAGCTGATGGGACCTCCTCTTCGTCCAATTCGATTACCTCTAGGTATCTTCGCGCCTCGGCCTCTCTCCGCTCCCTTTCTTTTTTCTCCCTTTTCTCCTGATCCTTGATTCTTTTAATTTCCAACTCCTTTTCTTGCTGTTGCTGTGCGATTTTCCAAAGAAACCCTTTGATTTTCGCATCATCTATTGAGACAAAGTTCTCCTCGGGTTCCTGGTACTCATATCTGATTGGATCGGGGGGGATTAATCCACAGCTGGCGTCGCAGCTAGCATCGCAGCAGGCGGCGGCAGAGCAGCAGGGCATAAGAGTACAGTCATTGCAACACTCCACGCAGGACGATGACTTATTCCGTGACACCTCCATTGGGTTACTAAAATAAATAATAAATCATATAAGCTTCGGTTTCTTTAGAAATGTTAAGAAGGAACGCCTTAGGATAAGATTCCAAATATTCAATAGCCTTGCCAGACCTAATAAAAGTATGATTTAAAAAATAATGTACACAATTTATATTTAAAAATATAGTGTATACATAAATAACATTAAAATAATTTTTGAATATAATTTCAATACAATATTATTGAGAGTTTATTGAAATAAAGATGTATTTTCAAATGGTCTCATTAGTAATGACATCTTTAAAGGAACAGATAAAATATCTTGTTATACCTTGCCTATTAGTTTAGATGATACTAAAAGATTGAGATATTTAAGAATTGATTTTTTTAGTGGAAATGCTCGTCGTAAAGTAAAAACCATCATCAAAAAGATAGTGAGATCACATTAGTTTTCTTCTGTGTACATTTCTAAACGACTCAGTAGTTCTAAGACAATGTGTAGTTCAGGGAAACGAACTCTTTATGATCCTGGCATACAAACCATATGATCAGCAGGAGGCTCCCGATCGAATGAATTCTTCAGCAATCTGCAACTCCTCTCTTCCCGGAACTCCACTCTTTTCCTTTATTTTATCCGCAATTTGTGCGCTCGGCGATGGCGTCTGCCGTGCGAAGAAGTGAAGAAGAAACTGGATTCGCGATTCGCGATTTGCGGCTTGCCGAGCAGCAACCTCTCGGCAAAAACAACAAATCGCCGCAAAAGTCGAGCTTCAGTCGCCGTCGACGCAGACTGCGCTGCGGCAGCGCTGCTCGCACTGTGAATCAGCGAAGCGAGCAGAGCTGCAGTAACAACAACAACAACAGCAAAGTGAGCTGCGCTTAAGGCTTTTATTTCGGTACACGAACAACGTGAGCCTTCGCCCCCCAATAGCCCCCTCCCCAGCCTTTGCGTGTTAACTTGATTTTTCTTCGGGCCACGCAAAAGCGGAATACGAAAAACAAAGAAAATGCCCCAACAACAAAGGCAAAAACAAAAACAATTACAGACAGAGCAACAGGCGCAAGAGCAACAACAACAGCTCACGATTTTCAAGATTGCTCACAATGGCATGGGCGTAGGCAGGATTCGAGTGAGGGGTAAGGAGCACAGGACAATAAGAGGGGGTATTAAAAATAGTAATCACATATATTTCAATTTAAACATAATTAATTTTTTCGTGTTAAAAACACAAACCCTCAATAACCAAGCAAGTTAAAGGTAAGAACATTTAATAGTTTATATATTGATCTATTCGCAATTCAAATTATAATATTTTGACACAGAAATCACCTCCAATCAAAGATGTATTCAATTTGTTTGGATGTATTTGGGGTTTATTTGGACCTCTTACGTGTTTTTGACAGTTGGATCACGTTATTAATTGCTTTTAGTTCTACATTACCCACTCATTAAGAACTACTTGTATGTATTTGGTTTTGCAGAACATTTTTAAAACGATTTCATATTGTATCAAATTTTGTTAGTGTAATTTTACTAGTTTATCTCTAGCATTGCTGTACGGCTAACTAAATGCAACAAAAAAATATAAAATAAATAACAGAAAAATATATGTAACAAAAAATATTAAATTGAAATATTTTGGGGGCATTTTTCCCCCTTTTACATACCTGCCTACACCCCTGCAGAGAGGCGAAATGAGAGCTAGAGAAAGAGGTGAAGAAGGGAGTAAGGGGGTTTCGGAGAGGAGAGTGGGAGTAGGGAAGCGTGAATAGAGCCTGGTGGGCGGGGGGTGGGTGGAGCAGCGAAAAAGGGAGCAGCGTGTCCAAAGCGTAAAGAGCCACAACAACAAGAGCAGGAGAAACAACAACAACCGGGGAGCAGTGACTGAGAGCAGCCGACGCCGACGGCGACGCCAAAATATTTTTTTTTTTATTGACGTCCGAGCAGCCGCGCTAAAGTAAAACCGTGCGCCATCACTTTTTTTATTCGCAGTTCGCTTTTCTTTTTCTTTCTAGCTTTGTTGTTGGCTTCCTTTATATACATATACATACATACATATGTATATATTTTTCCAACAATTGATTTAATTATTGACGGTTTCTTTTTTATTCTTCCTTTTCAAGACGAGCTTTTTTAAGTGGTGTATAAATTGCCTGAAAGCCTTGCGATCGTTTTTTATAGGGTGACGGATTTCAAATTGGTTCTGTTTTATTTTTATTGTCCTACTTTATACAATAAAATGTATCTAATTTATTTTCAAATTATAAGCAGGACACACGGATAGGTTTTCTTTCGAAAGATACGCTGTTTCACTTTACACACTATACATATGTATGTTCTAGTTTTTTCTTTGGTAGAAGAAATGATTCAAGAAAGTTTTAGATTTATCATTAAAAAAGTTTTCAAAACCAAAAACATTTTTTTAGGAATATCATTTTTAAAAAATTCTATTCCATTTTAACACTTTTTGACTAATAAATAAAAAACTAGCAAATAAGAAATGAACTAGAAAATGAAGATCCATAATAAACGGTTTACGAAAACAATATATTTTGAATGACTGACTGAACCCACTCCCTGTACTTTTTCTTATGTATTATTACCCGGATAAATACACTATATACTTCAGCACTCATTGTTGTTTTCAGTAGAAAACCCTGGATTTGAAGTGTTACTTTTTGAAGGCTAGGATAGCGTGATTTATTCTAATTTGTATGCCATCAGCGTGGGTAGTTGAGTTCTGCCCCCTGGCGAGCCATAAAGCCAAGATCCCCAGATCCGCTTTAAATGCTTGGCTAGGCTCCCGTTGGTGTCTCGGTCTCGGAATATTGGCGATCGTGACTGCACCGCTTACTTATTTCTTTTCGCTATAAAACTCGTTTATATCTGATCCACACACACGTCCAGTCGCATGAAGTCAACAACAGACGCCCACTCGACTTGGTCCGTGTGGACTCGGTTTATCGGTCTCGGTTTCTGGCTTTGCGACTGGGGAATTGGCATCCGTGTCCGAAGTACCCACATGTACATTGTATCCTCTCTGTGTGGGGAACCAGTATGACGGTGTTTGCGAATGGGGAGCAATGCTCGGCTTCTCGGTGCTGCCTCGAGTCCCAGGTGTTCGAACTTTTGCGGTGCGTGTGTATGCATTTTATATATGGATACTTATAGTACTCGCAATTGCAGGTGCTTTATATAACTTGGATATACTGGCACGATATCGTGCTCGGTGAAGTTATTCTAGACATTATGGGTTCTCTCAATCTTAATGAGTACTAAATGTCCATAATCTATTTTTTATTAAAGCTCATATGAATGTTGTCTTTAATTAATAAACAGGGGTCTGCTGAGTTCATACATATTTGAACTTCGTATACAAAGTATCTTTGCGAAGATCGATCGCGCCACATATGTTTCCTTCTGTCCTTTATAAACTCCGATTGTACCACAGGTCCCCAAAAATTTCCAAAGAAATATAGAGTAGCTCGGAATTTTCTTAATCATGGTCTGATTTAAAAAATTCGGACGTCTAACTATATATGTATGTCCAATAAAAACTTATTCAGAACTGAACTGCATTTGGAACGCACACTAACTTTTTTAAGAAAACAATTGGTCAAAATTAATAACTTGATCTTTCATTTTCAGATTCAATTTTTATGTTAATATTAAGATGTCGTCCTGAATGACGAAGTTGGCAGACAAAAAGAAAGCAACTTTATGAGAGGCCTATCCTTAAAGAAGATTCTCATTTTGTTCACCTTCCATTCTATATTTTAATGTTTCCTTTCCCTGAATTTAGTTTTCAAATCTGTTAATTAAAATAAATAAATATAAATATCGTAAGTATCCAGTTTTTTCATTACCTATAACCTCAACTTTACACAGAGAAAGGCTTATTTTGTGGTATCCCTACTCAAATATTTTTATATTATGCAGTACAATTGCAAACCCTTTCATCTCCAAATAAAAGCCAACAATTTTGATCTATTGAAACAATTTTTAATAGGCCGTTTTTTGATTTGAAGACTTTCTAGGTATAACTTTTCCTGAAACTACGTAAATTCGCTTACCATAATAATAATCGAATTGTTAACCTATATTATATATGCGTATATATATCGATCAGTTTCAGTTTGGGGATACGCGCAGATATCCACTATTAAATTGGATCACATTATAGGCAATATAATGCTGGATTACGTATAAGCATAGAGGAAACATATTTGGCAAAATTGGGGTTTGGTAGCTAAATCTAGGGTGAGGCGGCGACTACTAACGAAACTAAAGTAACCATAAATATACGGGCGTATTAACTTTTACTATGGTAAAAAAATATTGTTAAATCGAAACATTGGAAATGAAGAACATTTTATAACACAAAGAGCGGGGGAAAATAACTCTGGCTAAATCTTAGACTAACATATTAAAAACGATTGTTTGCTAGGGGTGAAAGGGAGTGCGAGTGGGATTTGCGATAAATGATATGCAAGATGGTGTAGAACTTCAGACAAACAACTTAACTATGTACAACAAAGCTACGATCTAATATTTAGCAAGTCAGGGGATCGATTAGAACCCCCAACTAAAGCGTGTGTGTGATTGGGTATGTTGGGTCGATTTTCTTTACAAAAATCATAGAACCGCTATTTTATCTTTGGTCTTTTCCAGGAAACTTTGCTTTGAATACTTAAGGAAAAATTAAAACTTAGAATTTAATCTGTTAATTAAATGTGAGTATAAATACTCAAAATATTGTTAGTTATATATATTCCCATTTTGTTCCAACGTTTTAACGTTTACCTTTTGGAAATATTAAAAAAACGATGGTTGACAATCTACAACTTTAAAAGAATCTAGCTATTTTTGTTAAAGATTGACTTGGAAGACAACAGGCATGGATATATGATGGAATTCTTTTTTAACGTATATACAATTCCCAAAGAATTCAAAGCAAATCACTTAAAATTAACCAAAGACTAATTTTTGGCGCCTGAGATTGTTCCATTACTTAAACATCCCTAAAATCGACCCCTAAGCTAAGCTAAACTGCGTGTGCTTCCACGCATTTCTTAAAGCTTTTGCGGCACATCCTTGCTAGTAGCTCCTGTTCTCTCATGATTGACGACAAACTTCTTGGCGCCCGACAATCCCTGCTTGTTGATGTAGAAGCTCTTTTGGGCAAGTGGCGAGCCGCCACCATCTGAATCCACCACAAGGCGATTCAGAAAAGTTGCAGCTGTCTTGGCCCCACTGTCGCAGGAAGATGACTCTATGCTAATGGTGGAGCAACCACCGATCGAGGAGGTCTCGCTTTTGGCATCGTCCATTAGAGTGGCATCGTCCACCAAATCATTGACCAGCACCTGAGTGCTGGAGGATGCGGTGGACAGTATGGAGGAGGTGCGACTGCGGCAGGAGGAGTGCGACTCCGACTCGGGTATCGAGATTCCCTCGTCGATACTTTGGCTCTGGCTTCCGCCGGAGACAAGGCACATGGCAGCCTCCAGATTCGGGCCACTGCCCACGCCTCCGGGCGAAGCGGAAACGGGTGACGGACAACCCGAGCTGCTGCTATTGTTATTAAGTCCACTTCCGCTCACCGTGTTATTTGTGCACAGCTTCGAGATGAACAACTTGGGCGTAATCCGGCCATCAAAGGTTCCGGAATCAGGACTGGGACAAACCGACGAGGGCGATTGACACACCGGGGAAGAGCCGCGACTGAAATGGAAATACAAGAATAAACATAAGTACATGAATTAATTGGATTATAGGCAATAAATCTTCAATTTGTATAAATAATATTCAACAAGTTGCAAAGTTGCTTTTATATGCACTATTAAACGTCTAACATGACTCAATTAATGGTTCTCGTGCAAACTTTATAGCATTTATTTTTAGCCTAATGAAAAATATTTAGTCGTCTATTCAATTAGAAAACAATGTAACAGAGCCGAAAAAAATCTAAATTTATTTTTGCAAAAGGCCCGCTGCTATATATATTTAGCTTTTAGGAAAAGTGCAAGCCGTTAAGTAGATCTGTGTCAAAAAACTTTTTGTACCAGAATTTAAATTCCAGTAAATATATACACATATGTAACTAAGTCAAAGGACGAAATTTCACAAGCCTTTAACATTTTTTGGCGGACATTTTAAATATAAAGACATCATGAAAAATTGATCTTAAAATACGATAAAGCTTACTTCACAGACAAGCCAATTTTTGTGGGTGACTACTGTGGTTGCTCAAAAATTAATGGGGGCGAGTATTAAAAGCTTCAATCTAGTGAAAGCTTGCCACAAAAATAATATTTGTTATCTTATTATTTATAGCAAACCGATCAGAATTACTTCGTACGAAAGCATTAACTGAACCTTAATAAAACGTGCCGAGAGTTTAACTACCCCAAAAGCTAAAAATATTTGAATTCAAATGGGCTACCGGCTGTAGCCTACAGCAAACATTAAATATTATAGGTAAAGAAATGGGTTCATCGATTTTTTTAAAGAGGAAAAATATTAATGATTATTTCTACTGGTTGCATTCTAAACAGTTGAAAAAAAAATTTGTTAAATATTCCATGTAAGCCAATTATACTTAACAATTTCCAGGTTTAAGCCCAAAAAAGTTACCAATATCTCACCTTTCCGTGAAGATCTTCTTCAGTGGCGGAGGAGAGTAAACGCTCCAGTTGCTGCCCTGTGTGGGATTATCATCCAGCTCAAACTTCCTCTTCACGGGCCCCAGCTGAGATGGTCTCATGGCAATGGGCGACATTGAACGCCTGGTGGCAAAGGTTCGCCTCGTGGGCGACGGTGAATATGGTAGTCTCATGCCAGCGCGATTGTTCGTGGGACTGGGACTGGAGCAACTGGTGGTGCCCGTGGGTGGCAGGCTGACCTGCAGGGGGTTGGAGAGCTCGTCCGATTTGCAGGACCAATTCTCGGCCACCAGAGTCAAGTCTTCCCAGCTCTGGGAGATTTGTATTTCCCGGTGAACTTCGCGCTCATGATTAACCTCCCGGCTGTTCAAGTCCGCGCATTCCTCTTGCCTCAGCTGGGAGACCCGGGGAGTTAGGCAAAGAGTGGCCCCATTGGCGGCAGTGGTCAACGGACTGTAGCTAGCCGAATACCTCCTTGCTCGAGGGGTGAATATATTAAATACGGGAGCCGGGGACACCTCCCTGGAATTGGGCTGGGAGCGTATGTGTATATTCTTGCCGAAGCAATCGATGGATGCGACATTCGGCATCTGGATATCCAGCACCTGTTGGCTCTTCTTGGGCGTCTGCTCGTGCTCCTTGGCCGCCAGAGCAGCCGCTGCGGCTGCGCGTGTGGTCATCGGGGTCTTTCCCGACTTCCCCGTCGGCGGAGTCCGAATTATGGGCACACTTAGACAGCGTTTGAGGGTCTTCGAGCTGCTACTCGGTGGCGGTGGGTCCAGTGTGTCCATGGGCACTGCTGAGGGGTCTTCCTGCTGCTTCTCCTCGCCGCTGGCTTTCGTCTCCGATTCCATTGCCTTCTATCTAAAATTAGAAAGTGTTTACTTCTTGGTTCCCAGGGTTATTTTTATACCCTTGCAGAGGGTAGGGCTATATTAGGTAGCAGCTGTCAAGCGTTTACTTGGTGCATCTCTGGTCAGAATCTATTCTAGTCTATTGCTTTCGACACCATGCAATTAGAGGTTTTCGTATGATTTTGCGAAAGGTATTACTATTTTAGATAGCAGCTGTATTCCAATATTAAGTTGTAATTGTAAGTTCTTGGACACAATTGCTCTTTTCAAGTCCATCGGTTTTAAAATGATCAACCATAATTTGAAAATTATAGATCACGATCATGTGGACTCTGGTGAACTTTTTAAGGTAATTATAGGAAATTAGCTTTTATATAGGTATAGTTAATCTTAACTTGGCAAGTGGTCAGTGTCTTAACCCTAAGAGCGCTTTATAATCTTTATTTAATCGTTGCTATATGATGACGTGATCTATCTATTACAGGCTAAGCGACATATTTAGTATTAAAATTGTTTTGTTGTGATACCAATGGAACTATTATATTTTATATTTGTCAAAAGATATGATTATTTTTACTTGATCTTCCCGTTTTGATTAAAATTTGTACCTCGACGATAAGTTGCGACCGTAACAAATGGCCATAACTCGGTTGATTTTAAAGATATTTAGACCAAGCATCTAGAAATCTTTTGCGGAAGTGTTCCAAATATATTTCAAAGAAAAGGTTTTAAATCGCAACTCTATATCCTTTGACTCATATAGGAACGATCGGTTTGCAAGACAATTTCAAGCTCCGGTGTGCCATTATAACTGTTCGTTTTTATTTTCCACACCATTTTCCGACTTCCCAAGGTGGCAGATAGTTTCCCGATTTTCCGCAGGACTTCGGGGCGCAGCGGCAGCGCTGCCGGCGTCACAGCCACCGCGGGCAGAGCGACTGTCTATTTTTTTTCACCCACAAACTGCGTGCCCATTGAGGCAACTTTTGGCAGCCACTTTTCACACCCTAGATGCCATTAGCCCTTTGAAATAACTGCTGAATTAGATTAGCCAAATTGTAAAGAACACTTGGCACTACCTTAAGTTGGCCGAAAACACGTGCAATTGCCTTAAAATACTTACAAAATTGTGTCCTGCGATTGTAATTTTCAGCTATACCCGTTTAGTTTTTTTATAGTGTTGGCAAGCGACTAAGCCCGAGTGACCGCATACACGAGCAAGCGGTATGACATACCAGGCATGGCGTTTAAAATTTTAAAAATTGCTAATTTCCTCCAGCTTAGTGAACAATTACGTTGTGAAATATAGTGCATTACTTTATCAAAATTAAGATTATCGATTTCCCATATTTATATCACTGGATTTTTCTGTAATCAGCTGATATTATGCCCGCGGCAGTTTTTTGGCTCATACGGCACACGTCATGCAGCTCTGTGCGCCACCGCTGTCCAACACTGTGCGCGCGGAATTCAAATTTACTCGCTGCTAAGGTAAAGTGGAGATGTCTTTTTACAAAGTACAAACTTGGCTAAACTGTTTTTCCATAAAATAAAAACATTACTATAATTTAAATAACATAAAAACAGAAGTGTAAATTTTTTAAAATAAATTTTCAATTCGAATTTAAGACAACTCAACTAAAAATGCGTACAACCTAAATGAAGAAATCTTTTTTATGTTCAGCAGAACTTCCAAGTGCCCCCTTTTTATCAGCAGATGCCTTGTTTCGATCAAAAAAATAATTTAATAAAAATACTTTTGAATGCTTTCCCACGGGCACTTAGATTTTCTCCGAATCTTACGACTTTTTTTTCTTTTTTGGGAAGGGAATTTACTAAGCATTTTTTGCGAGTTCTGATATGAGGACATTAAAACAGTAAAATTTATGAATAATGAAAAAATTTGATATAAAGAAATCGTAAATTACAATTCCCGCGAATTGCCCGCCATTAGAAACAAGATTATGGACACATGTTATATTTATTCATTATGATTAACTTAAAGAAAAAGAGCGAATTATGAGGAACACACTCATGTTTACAAGCTGCTGTTGTAATTTGGTTTCTTCAATATTGTTTAACTTTAACAAAAATCACAAGAAATAATAATAACACAGACGAACCAAGATATCAGACTAATTGATTCTGTAATCCTTTCGTAACTTAATAATAAGCGCTAGGCGATTGAAAATGTTTTGGAAAGTGGCTGTTCATCGTTCTTGGCTTTTCGTTTCTGTTCAACTAATAATACTTAATTATCCATTTTGTATTCGACGAAATTTCCGTTTTACTGACGACTACGAGCTAGAGTTACACTTTAAGCTAATTTGTTGCTTGATGCGCGCATTTTCCTTCGTTCTTTGTGTATTTCTTTTTGTTTCCAAGAGTTCCTCCTGTTGCGTTTTGGATGGTTTGCAATTGAAATCGTTCGTTACTTGGCTAAGTAGATAGGATAGATGATGGCTTGATGGATAACTATGAGCAAGTTTTTTTTTGCTGGGTGGCTGAATATTAAATTGCATTGTTGGTTGGGTGGTTGGCAAACGCAGAGCATCTGAGCTGAGTTCCCTTGCGGTCCGGAGTCGGCACTTAACCATCGGACAGGGCGGGCGTCACCCATCCATACTTCTCGTGCGTCTTCACCAGCGAACGGAACGACTCCTCGGCTTGCCGACTGTAGATTTTACATTGTTTATTTTAATTATATATTTACTTTCAGTTAAAAAACCCACTCCCTTACCGAGTGAACTCCTTTGTACTCTTTGGTTTGCGCGTGATCCTGCCCTGACCCTTGACCACGCTGGCTGCGAACTGCATGATGACCGCCTCCACCGTATAGGCACTGGCCCATCCGCGGGGCGTTAGGAGTTCCATGCAGATGGCGCCGCCCTCCATCACGTAACCCTTCTCGATGCGCGGCTCCACCACGCGCATGAACGGCGGGGCGAAGGGGAAGTTGTCGGGGAAACTCAGGTGCAAGAGGATGGCCGGCACACCCATCTCGACCATGTCTTTGGCCAAAGGCGAGTCGGGATCAATCACGTGGAGGCGTACGTGCCACTCGAACAGACTGTCGTTGACGAGTTCCACCTGCAAACAATTGTTTTGAGTGTTAAGCTTTATGGATTTGTAAATGCTGCAATAAGAATCAACAATGAGAAATAAAGTGCTTAAGGACAAGATCAGAAAAATCATATCATATCTAACTATTTTGGAATCCCTAAAAGACTAAATATCCATATACTCCAGTTCTAATACATTTGCAGGAGGTATTATTGATGAGACATATAAAGTCGACCATATAAAGTCGGTGTAGACAAGTCCCACCGTCCGTTTCTGCTTTCAGTTCTTAAGCGGGATAAAACCTACTCAAAAGTTCTTTCTATTGCAGGGTAGTATTATAAGTCGGAACTAGCCGGATCTGACAACCATATTTTATAGCTCTAATAAATAAAAAACCAAAACAAATTGAAAAAGCCAAAAAAAAGTATATCGTTTCGGCCCTTCCTAACAAATTATTTTCTACTCTTTAGAATATCATTTTTTTTTATTTCAGAAAATGGTATTTTAGTTGAAAAACATATATAAGTATAGAAACGATAGGAAAATTAATATTTACAGACTTCGATCGTATTTTCTTTATTTTTTAATATCACTAAAGCTAGCAACAATCGTTACACATTAAATATCCCTACTTCTAATAACTGCAAGGGTATCTAAACAAACATGGGTTTGTCGAACTAAACTTCCTTTCTTGTTTCATATGATTTCAAAACACAGGTCACTGTGTCTGCATCATAGTTTAAGATAATATAATATGATCTTTGGTATTCCCCTGCCCAAAAGTGTACACCGAACTCAGGACTCACCGTGAAGACGGCATCGTTCTTGCACTGCAGTCGCTCCATTTCGCGGTACTCCTTCATGAGGCGGCGGGATCGAATGGTTTGATCCGGCGCCGCCACCAGTTGACGTCCCGTCGTCGGCGCCACCCTGAAATTTGGATTTCAAGTTTCGGGGTTAGCTCACCAGATAGATTATAGATTATAAGGCAACTTATTTTACGGAAATTTCGGAATACAATTTTTTAATTTTCTCTTTTCCACTCACTTGTGATCTTGTCGTCGCCGCTTGCCTGGGGAGTCCCAAACAGCCTGCTCGGCTGCCATTCGCACAACTGCATTCTTGGAGGCACCAGATGATCCGGATGATCCGCCGCCCACGGCTCCACCGCCCATTGCACCGCCGCATCCCGCCGAGGAGGGAGCTGCCCCCTCGTGATTGTTATTGTTGTTTATGTTCGGACTGCTGCCAGTGGCGCCATCAACCTTGTCATTGTTGTTATTATTTATATTATTATTATGGTTGTTATTGTTGTTGTTATTGTTATTGCTGGACTTGTGGAAGATTTTGCGGAATGCAGTGACAACTCTCTCCTTGGAACGCGACGACATCTTCCTGGCTTGGATTGGCTTGGTCTCTCGGTCTCCGACAAGTGGATTACTCTGGGTTCTTGATTTGGTATTTCTGAGTTATTTGAGCGGTGGCTTTTGATTCACTAGTTTACAAGTATTGTGTGGGTTCAGTCTTCTTCTTAAAATTGTTCCTGGTGCAATGAGTGTGTGAGATTGGTGCTGAAAATATATAAGAATAAATAGTTTTATATTTGTTTTAATATTTTAAAATGTAATAAGTTCAATAATATTTTTTTAAATCTGTTTACAGCACTTAATCAGCTCTAAACGATCCATTTTGATCTTAAAAAGTATACTTAAGCGAAACCAAAAGCCTGTCTAAATATTAAACATTTAAGTTTTTGAGTCTTCGTTCATTTCTAGATGATGGCATGCAGAAGAAATGCCTAGATTAACATTTTCTCGGGTCGGGCTTGTAAAATTAACATACTTGTGCATGCTAAGGATGCCATTACGTGGAATTTGATTCCCTCCGAGCAATTTTCATATTTTAGTAGACCCTCCCCAACACAATTATGCGACCTTGAACTAGCGCCCACATTTGTAAACCAAAGCACAACGATGACTGGAGATACTTTACCATGTCTAGCAGTCATAAGCACAAACACACATCCTTGGCGAACTTTTCCAAGTGAATAACAACACCACCAGCCAAATATGTTAAATACTTGCCGCCTCAACAAAAACAAAAGGACTCATAAAGGCAGAGGTTTTGAAAAAGGGAACGACATAAAAACATATTTCGTCGTAGCAAAATGATTTCAGAGGGTGAAAGAACGCTTTAAAGGAAGAAGGTCAAATTGAGATACACATGGGAAAACTATTATCATGAGGAACAAATCTAAATTGTGACATCATATATTAGAAAAATAAAAATGATACTGTTGGAAAACACCATATTTTTTATTATAGTTTAGATTATTATAAAATTTATATTCTGATAACAGTAGCTGTCAAATATTTTTTAAGCCAAACAACGTAGTTCCTTTTTTGAATTTGTTGTGTTTTATACAAGTTTTTATCGTTCATAAAATTTGCATTTAAATACGAAGGAAATAAGATATGGCTATACTTTAATTTTTGTGTAGGAGCCAAACACTCGAGGCGCCCAAGTTTTATATCAAAAGTTTACTAAGCTTCTCGAGAGGCGCTTCCTCAACTCATTTTCTTTCTAAGCTGTGGATGCCAAGGAAACACAAACCCTCTTTTCAAAATTATATCACCCCAACGAGGTGTCCGAGGTGTTGACCATGGTCTGGCCAAATTGTTTGCCTTTCGCATAATTAGCTTTGACCCCAGTGCACTAGTCCTCAAAAGGGATTTCTGGGGTCACTCCTCCTGCGCTTCTGGACGGAAGCCAAGAGACCCGAACTCGGTTACCAAGGACAACAGATGTGGGCGTTACATTTTTATCGACGTGGGTGGGGCGACTAAGGGACTATTATTATTATAAAAACACATTTAAGTGTGGGCTAGGCTGAGAGCCAGGAGATCAGATAAAATGGATTTTTAGGGAACATACGTTTGCCAAAAATTAATGCATTCAGGTTGAACTTATAAATTACTTGGGTTTTATTTATGTGTTTTTCTCTTTCTTGTATATTTTTCCTGGTAAAATGTCGGATCTGATAAAAATGTTTATGGAGTTTTTAAGAACATATTTGTAAGTGTTAACAGATCAAATCGGCTAGTTGGGAACTCCCTATTTGGTTCTATGTTTTCATAAATTATTACCTCCGAATGAGGTTAGGAAAAAGGATTTACTAACACAAATGAGTTTTATATGTATAATCGATACCTATAAACTTTTATTACAAAAAATGGGCCATTAGTTGGCCACATTTATTGGCTATACTAATAACTAACTAATAATTATGCAAGTTAATAAAGAATAAATGCTTTTAATAAATAAGCTACCCAACAATTAGGCATTCCAAAATTTTAGTACACTAAGATTTCTCATATTTGTTGGTCACAACCCAGTCAAAGAAAGTTTTTGTATAATAACTTCTTTCTTAATCCTGGTATGCCTACAAATTATGAATAATTGATACATAATCCCGACTAAAGTATCGGAATTTACTCCCTGAAACTGACCCAAAGTCTCATTAAGAGTTAGCTAACTTCGAACTATCAAAGACCCTTTCCGTATTTTCCTGCCAGGTAGGGGCATTTCCTTCGTGGAGCTCTTGTATGCTCAACTAAAAGTATTTTTAGACAAAAATGTTTGCACTTTTGCTTTCAGCCAGGGGCACTAAAAGCAGCGATAAAAAAACTGACCAAGGCCGAAACAAAGGCGCCACAGGAATCTTCTGAAAAACGATGAGAAGAGAAAAAGTGCGGTGAAGTCACTTTGATGGCAATACGAAATGTTATCTGGTTCCCGACACACATTTTCTGCAGTTCTTTCGCCATTTATTTAACCAAAAAAATGTCAACAATGTTTGACATATTTTTTTATACTTGAGCGCTGACAAACTCTATACAAACTAGGGTGAATCGGTTTGTCTACATGAAAGTAAGGGGGTTATGAGAATTATAAAATCATACAAAGTTTAATATTATGCTAGCTATCTATAAGTTTTGAAAACGAATAGAACTATTGTCCATTTAATGTTTCTATATTTCTATTCTATACATGTTTCGAATTTATAAAAACGATCTACCCTAATGCATCAATATAGATTGGGCGACAAATTGACTGCGCCGGTTGAAATTACAGTAGTCACAGAAATATATCTTATCTGGCGCCACGAAAATCGATACGGACAAAGCAAAAGCAACACCCGCACCAAATGACCCTCCCCCACAAACTCACTTTTCGCCTTTCTTGATATTACCCCACTCTATAACTGACCTACCCCGCACAGATATTCAATAATAGCCTCCGGACTGACTGGCAATCTCACTCCAAGTTATTTGCCAATCCAAATATAGATAGCGGAAAAATGTCGTTAAATCAAGTGGCAAACACTCTTTAAAGTTTTCCTTTCGGCTCTGGAGTAAATGGTTTTTTAATTGAGTTTCCCAACGGAAGAGACTTGTTTGGTAAAGTCTTTCATGTTAAGTGAAAAGTTTATTCTTTCACTTCAACTTTCTGTAAAACGGTTCTGAATTACTTGCCCTTTGAGCTTATAACACATGAAGACATCATAATATTTTTTCGTTATACTTAACATGATCTTAAGTCCTAACTAATTTAAGTATTTAACAATGAGGTTTTAAATGCGTGGGAAAACAGCAAAAGTTACCCAAACAATTAGTACAAGCTGATTTTTCAGGACTCACACATAAATGTAGGTATATAAAGTGACATGCATATACGGTTCGTGTACCAAAAACAACTCGGCTCATGTTTATTGTTGTTTTGATTTCTGCATGCAAATTTTCTGGCCTGTCGCATGCAAAATTTCTGTATGCAAACACGAAAGTAAAAGGAAAAACAATAACACAAGCTGGGAAAATGCAAAAATGTTGAAATTAAGAGAAAGAGTGAAAACTGTGTCAGTTCTCGAAACATTAAGGGGATTCTTATGGTTCTTATTCTCCTTTCGCGCTTACATATTGATTTTTCTTCCTGGCGACACTTTTTCCGAGCAATTCTTATTGAAATGCATAAAATATAGCTGGGAAACATTTTACTACACCTTAAAAATAATCGTGTGGTTTATTGTCTACTTTAAAAATTTCTGAAAACTTCTTTCTTAAAAAAAAAACATTTAATATTAACATAATAAAAATAATAATTGTTCATATTAACAAGTTTTTAAAATTTTTCCAATTTTCAGATATATGAAAAAAAAATTGTATTTCAAACCGACAGTTTAAAAATGTTAATATATTTTATACCATTTTTAAAAACCTCTGGGAATCTTAAAAAAAATCACAATTTAGAAATTTTATCTCGGGGTTCTAATCTTTATCGGTTTATGTTACACCTTACAAAAAAATACATTTAAATACTACGATTTCTTTAAGTGCTGAAAGCTTGTGAGAGTGAGGTCGTTAATCAACTGTTTGGTGCAGCCGCCGAACAATGCGGAAATATTTGTACAGGGGATAGTTGGGAGGTGGGGAAAGTCGGCGAGAGAGATGCTGACTAATGGCCCCTGCAACAGTTCTTTGTTCTCAGCCATTAGCGAACACCTACCATGGCACACACCCACAGAGAATTAATCCCCCCATTTTCTTGACCATCGAGCGCGGTTGCCATGGCATCCAGATTCTCGCCCTCTCTCTCAGCTTTTGCACTTGCACTTATTCTATAAAACGTAGAGAAATTATTAAGTGAAAATACAATAACAATAATATAAATATAGCAAGCTATCAAGCCTAAGAATAGTGTTTAAGAACTGACTATACATATGTAAAAGATTAGAATGGTTTAATCTTTATCAAATACATAATCTTTATACATACATCGAACATAACGTTTGAGTTTTGAAATACATTTTTCTTTAAATATTTATTTATGATTTTTTTACAACTGTAAAAATAAGGAAAACAACCCATAAACGAGATTTAAGTACAATTAAGGGATATTTATCTTAAGAAAACAAGAAGGCGGATAGCAGAAAAGTTACCCAAAATATTGATAAAAAACAAGGGCTTTGTATGTTTTTAAAATTACAAATTTATTTTGACATGTTTAAAATTTGTTTTAATATTTCTCATGTTAATTAGTTGGTGATTTTTAGTTATGTTGTTATATATGTATAGCAGTGGTCGGCAGCGGCCTATCTAGTGAGCATAGGGAAGTGTTCTGCCCATCCTCTGCTCGCTCACGTACAACGTACATGTTCGTGTGACTTCGGCATGGGTCTTCGGGTCATTTTTTTCTCAACTTCGGCTCGCTTTTTTGTTGCTGCGGCAGAGGATCTCAGTGCAAAGCAGAGAAACGTCTCGCTTCAGCACGCCGCGCGCAAACTTCGTGTTTGTTACACTCACACTAATGCAAGGCAAACTTGTGATGGTATGTGTGTGCCGACCACTGATGTATAGCTAAATTGCCAGCACCGATAGTCATCCTATACAGACGCTCTGCGGCGATGGCATTGTTCTAGATGGAAGTCCGAGGGTCACCGCTTGTTACGGCTTTGTTAATTTATTTATAAACAATTCCTCGGTCGGACTCTCGTGCACATGCAAATTGAATTAAGCACGGATTGCTTTTTCTCTTCTCGTTTTCGTCTCTTTCCTCGGCATAGGAAGCCTTTAAATGTGCATTCAGCATTAATCAAGGCCAGCAGCATCACAATCGGTCTCCTTTATTTCCTGGTTGCCGATGCTAACCAAATCGAAATGCTTTGTCACTCGATAAGGTTCGTTGACTCTTGCCGGGCCCAATAATTCGCGTTAACTGACTAACGGACAGTGACTGATGCTGATGGTTTGACCCCGTTATGGTCTCACAGAAAGATATATAACGAGCAGAAGGTTTACCTCCCCTTCTGACCTTGGGAATGTCTCTGTTAGTCTGTTTATCATCGTGATGTGGCGCCATAACACATGCCACTCACACCCAGTAAATATAGCAACAAGAACCTAAGGAATTAGGGAGCTCACCGGAACATAGAATACACTTTAGGCCTCTAAACTTATTTTTTAAGATTATCAGGCTTTTAATACTGAATTGATTAAAATCTAACTTGATTCGGTATTAAAAAGAAAAGGAAAAAAAATACTTTTAAGATTGCCGAACTTAAGGTAAACCTTTTTTATCATTAAAGAAATTTTAAAAAAGATTTCACTTTATTTTTTTGTATAGTTTTTTTAACAATGCTTAAAAAATATTTGAATTATTAAAATAAATAGCACAAGCTTATTTCTTTGTCTTCCTTTCAGAACCTTACTGTAACTGCCAACTTCTTCCTATAAAAGAAGTACCCTACTTGGAAAGGACATACGCACTCCTATGCTTTCTCAGCACATTTTGTTATGTATTTATTAAGACTCCGCCAGGCAGATATAGCACGTAGATATAAACAGAGGGCTCCTAGACAACCGACAGCCACAAGATGAAAAGCCTGGCCAGGACCTAAGCTCCTCTGTATCCCTACTCCGCAATATTTTTTTTTTTTGCCCGCTTCAATGCTGGCGCGTGTTTCATTCAAACGGAAGCCATTTATGAAATTGCTTTCGACAAGAGAGCTACAAAAGCAAAAACAGCAGAAGCCACAACAATGGCCACATCTCACGGGTTAAAAGTAGACTTTGACATGGACATCGGGCAAGGGATATGCTTCACATATACGCGTCATTTGATGACGTTAGCGGGTGAATTGCGCGCTCGGACGGTCTGTGTCCAAGGCATTACACAGAAAAAAATCAGAGAAAAATACAGATCAGTTCAAATACTAGAAATATTACTTTGAAAAGATTGTCAAGGTAATAGATTGATTATACCGAAAATCATATGTATAAAAATCAGAATAAATATATCATATATGTATAAATATATCAAGTTCATAAACATACTGCGATGTTTCATTTTAAGTTCCTTATACGTTTGTAAGTCAGTAGGAAATTTGAAAACTTGGACAAGAATTAGCGTTTTGGGAACGGTAAAGATGATCTATCTAACACAGTAGTTTGTAAGAACCTTTGACATAGAATATTGACGCCGAAGGTTGATAATACTAAACACATTTTCATGATATATTGATCAATCATCCTAAAAATGCATTTATTCTTTTAGTACAACAAATTGTAATACTACGTACCAATTAAATTTTTTTTAACTACCCCAACAACGAGTTAATCGAAATTTAATAGATTTAGTTGAGATTTTTTTCTGTGCATCTGGGTCTATGTCGATAGCTCGTGTGTGAAGCGACCTGTCAATTTGGCTTTCGTCGGGTGTCAAAGTTAAGCACTTTGGATAGCGGTTATTGCACACGAGATAAGCTTCAAGTGCTTAATACCTGGGGTGGAGACGATTGTTGAACGTTTTACATTACGTCTACTGGGTTGTTGAATTTTGGGTAAGAGCTTGGTAACCATTCAACAAGTATGCTATACAATATCAGTGATAAGAACCAGGACGAAAGTTAATCTATTCTTGTTCTAAAAACACTTTTTAAAATTAGGCCATACTTCATTATACGTTCTCAAATGGAATGTATGTAACTTATCGGTTGGAATTTTGGTTAACAAGGTTTACAATAATTTTGATTTCATTATTTTTAACAAGACTTTTCCAAGCTTTAATCTCGAAACTCTGATGAGAAAATGTGTCAGCTTTCACTCCAGGGAGAAAACACCGTCTGACGTCAATAGCTGACCCGGGGGCGAAGAGAAATATAAACGGACACACTGGGACACAGGTAGTAAGTGCTACCTGCCATATTGTTTATGCTCGGTGAAATTGTTTATAGCCTGCCACTAACACTCCCACTCATGTAAAATGCATAAATTCAAGGTATACCAGGGAAGTTCATCTAATTGCCGGCGACCCTTTGCTCTTTTGTCTATTTATAGGGTCCCCCTTGGGAGCCTTGGCTCCTTTTCCCGGCTTTGTCTCCCATTTCCATGGGTATGCATAATCAATTTATGCCTGTGCCGGGTTAAATCTATAAATTAATTCAGCCGTAAAAATAAAATGCCTACTCGGCGGGTCTATAAAAAGTTGATGTGCCAAAGTGCACACTCCACCACACACCCACGCTAAGCTTCGCTGATCAAGTGCGATTTAAATGCGCAACATGTCGGGAGGTCGGGTCAGGACAGCAATTACAGTGGGCACTCGATAATGGGATCACTTGGGGAATAAAATATTAAGTTAACTGTAATAAGGTCTATATTTTAGGATAGATTTTAGAAATAACTTTTATTCAAACACCTAAGGATTTCGTAGAAAGTGCTTGACTCTAAGTTAGTTTAGTTTTGTATGCTACTCAATCTCTAAAAATTGAAGTTTCAAAAGGTAAACTATAATTAAAAGCTTACTAATTTTAAAAAAAACTTATAAAGATGTGGTGTCTAGATTGGTGGTGTCTCTATTCAGTTTTCCTATAGATAACGTTGGTAACATGGGCTGGGTCTTGACGATAGAATTTCTTTTTCATTGCCAAGTACTACTGATATCGCTGACAATATGCCAAAGCTTTATTTACTTTATTAAATACAATAAATAAATAATAATATATATTTTACCATCAGATGTTAATAAAATATTAGAGGATCAACAAGTACACTATGTTTTCAAGGTTTAATTCTATTTCTAGAGATTCCGGAACCTGTCTATCAATTCGTAGTTTCTACTGTAGACGGAAGAGGATGCAAAGCGCCATGGCGATGGCGCCTGTTTAACTGTGCTAAGGATAAAGGAAAGCAGAGAAGATAAAAGAAAGAGGAGACAGTGAATATTATCTATCGTATAAGTTTATCCCTTCTCCCTTCCTCTCGTGTGAAATCGGAGCTCTGATTTCATTCATGAATACCAAATAATGTGGAGAAGCCTTTCCGACTTCTTAGCTCTCTATACATACATACATATAACATAAATTTTCCTATCTGCATGTCTGTAGGAATGTTTGTACATTGGTGGGCGTGAAAATGTCAGCAGTAAATACAATTTAAGCATTTTGCTTGGAGCTTAGATTTATTTCCTTGGTTTTCTTTTGAATTTCTTTTCATCTCCTTCTCAGTTGTCAAAGGCAATAAAGGCAAATACGCAAAAGGAGCAACAACAACAATCATGGAATTAAATAACCAACAAACCCGAAAACTTTTCTTTGTACTTTTCCGAGGCCTTTTTTCTTTCCTTTTGGGCCATATTTTTATCTGGGATTTTTCGTTGCTTTTTTATTCTCGTTTGCGGCTTGTTAAAGATTTAAGGCAGTCTTGTGAAAACATACAAATTGATGGAATTATAAACCCAGTCAGTAACTTTGGAATGGTAAACATTTGGACAATCTTTGAAGTCGAATAGAGTGTAGACTCTGAAGGTAATATTATCGCTAATATTGAAGTTAATAACTGTTACCTTTGTAGTATATAAATATTAAATGAATACTAATTTTAAGAAATAGTCTTTGATAAGGAATTCCAGTAATTTTTTGAAAACATAAAAATATTCAACAAGAGACAAATTTGGCTTTATTTTGCTTTGGTAAAGCCTATCTTAAAGGCATCTTAAAATGAAGAAACTTGACCATGACTGGCATCCTTGGAAAAACCACTTGCCTTGCTGCAAAATAAGTCGACGAAAAGAGCACTTGAAAATGTTCAGTATCAAGTTCAATGAAAAGCTGGCATTGGCAGAGCGAGACAGAGGCAGCATCCCTCCTTTTCGCACTTGGGGCAAGTACATGAATCCCAAGCAATGTCAAAAGATAAAGTGCAATGAATAGGACAAGCACAAACATGTGGACAAACAACCGTTTATTTGACAGGCTTGTTTGCCAGTGTCATGCTTCAATTGAAAATCGAACGGGAATGAGAAGAGCGAGAGGGAGGGGTAGCTCGTGTAACCCACAAAGTTCTATTTGTAAGAGTGAGAGGTCAAAAGCTTTTAATTGGCAAATTGTTTTGAGACGCCAAAAAGCAAAAAGGGATAAGGAGTGATGAAGAAAGAGGGGGAAGGAGAAGAGCTATCAAAAGGGGCAACACAAACACCCACACACACACACACACACACTTACCAGGCGCAAAATGCAATTCGCTGTTTTTCTTGTTTTCTTCCCACGATTCGTGCTTATCAGTGTTTCGTTTTATCCTCGAATTTCTTCCCTCTTGCAGCTCGCACAGACAAACAAATAACCACGACGGGATAATCAATCAAAACGAAATATAATTGTTCCCACGGATTATATTTTTTATTGCGCGCTAAGCGAAAAGCAATACTTTAGATTATTTCCTAGACACTGGAGCACCAACTTTTCGCTGCACTTTTTTTCGCCCGCGAGAGCGGAATGTGATAGAGATGGGAGCAGCTGGTGTAAAGTTGCGATGACACTATCGCTGCAGCAATTAAGTATCGAAGGAGCTTATGGCATGTTCAGACAGACGGTGCTTCTGCACCAGCGACCAAATGAGAGAGTCGCTGCAACACCTTTAAGCTTAGTGTTACTTTTATGGCAAAATAAAATACAAATTTTGCTATTTTCATTTACATCTTTAAACAAGTTTGGTAATTTTTGTACTTGTCCACACATCATCTGGTGTACAAGCTAAACGGGGAGTCCATAGAAGATAAGGTCCTGAGGGGCTTGATGTTGATACTGGGATTGAGCCAGGGTCTTATGATCTCCAGCTGACTTGATTACCTCATTGACGCCACTCTGAAGTTTACTGGAATGCTCCGCGGCCATCCATCTCATGACCTCACTCAACCCTACAACAAGGCTAGAGGTAACAGAAGCCACATCAGCAATTAGATTTTTGGCGAACATTGTCTTTGTACATCTCAATTGGACTGTGACTGCCTTGATAATTCGTCGAAAGATTAGATTCTCTCTCAGTAATGAGATCATCATAGAGACAGACAAATCCTCCTGATATTCAATTAAACCACCGCCAACCGAAGAGTCCTTATGAGCGTGTTGCAATTGGAGTCGAGTGGGAGCGACGTTATCGATAGTTTAGGTCGATAGGGCGATAGCTGCAGCAGCGGGATGAGTCTGGCGGGTGATCTGGCCATTTGAAGATTAATCCCGGTTCGCTCTGGGATTACTTCAAATGGCCCATGTATCCAATGACCCAATGTCGAGAGAGGCCATGTAATATGGCGGGGGGCGATGATCAGCAGATATCGTGATAGTCGCGGCCATACTGTCCAGCAATCAAGGCAGATGCAGCTAGGAGTGCTAGTATAAATTTCTTTGTGCTTTAAATTAAATAGTGAGTTATGTGAAAGTTCTATAGTAGTTCGATATTTAATATTTATCATTTATAAAGGCAGCCGGGGTCCCAATACAAAGGGCCCCGGAAGAATTTATTTGGACTCTACTGACATCGCCATACTTCGACATACCTACCAGCCCGACTTGGCTGACCAGCAACCGGTGTCCGTTCGACCCGTGCCAGCGACCAACCAGGAAAGCCTTCTACAATCGACGCCGACGACGTCAACACTTCCCGGTGAGTCCGTTCCGGCGTACCGCGTCCTCCTCCTCCTCTCGGGAACTTCCAGCGGTCGCATTGCGGCGCTGAGAAGTATCGCCATTTTGTCCGGCAGCCGAATCTCGGACGCCCCGTGCACCACTCACCGGAGAGCGCCGTTTTCCTGTGTGGAGACCCGTGTCGCTGCTGGCCTCCGACGGGGAAGTCATCCGCCCGGGCTATCATCGCCTCCAGGCCCGGCCCAACAGTGGCTGAAAATTAGCAGAAATTAAATACACGTGTACATCGATTATATATATTGATATCTACTTACCCGTTTGTGAGTTTATCCGGAGTTAGACCCGAGAGCCTTATTTGTCCTCGTTGTTTGCCTAAAATTAAAAAGGTCGCGAGCATTAGTTAAATGGTTTAGCTTACAGTGCATTTACGTACCTTTTTGGCCTGTCCCTTCTTTTCCCTTGGAGCTCCTCAGGATTAGGTGACCGTACACACGCGCATCGCGCATGTTCCCTTGAGGCCCGCGTTTCCATGCGAGCTCTACCAATACATGGCTGGTAGAGCATAATTTCCGCGGCGCCTGTACCCTTTCCCAGCAAAACAAATCCTCTGCTTTGACCGCGTAAATATCCGAGACGGCGGCCAGGTTTCGGTCTTAGAGGCTGAGGAAGGATAAATCTATTAAGAGGAGAATGTATATGAACGATTGTACTTACCATATTTATTAAACCTTTGTAATACCCACTATGTGTGAATAAGCTTTCCCAGTGGGGGAGATGGAACCGTAGCCGTAGTCGCGAGGAAGGGGCTCCTGCCGACTACGAATGGGTGGTGCCCTGCAGCACCTTGAGGGCATCCATGGATGGGTGGGAGCGCTTGGCTAGGACATCGATAGCCACCAAAAGTAATCCATTTTCCCGACAATAATTGTAATTTTTGCTTTGTTTACGTTTTTGCCCTTAGTGATGACCGATAGATTAGTAAAGTGAGACCGCGAAGTTATCGATACTTATGTTGCGAGCTGTGGCATTAGGGGTACTCTGCCCTGAAGACGACTGAGCTAGCGGCACTGCCACCAAAAAAAGCAGTTCGTAACAAGCGTCTCTATAAAACTGGATCGATTTCTTGACGTATTCATGATCGGTCGCCGGTAATGGAAGTTAGTCTGGGATCCCCTTCCCAGTTGTCGGGACCCACATCCTCACTATAGAGCCAATCTTCCTGTTTTTGTTCAACAAGTAGGTTGGATAGGGCTGCTTTAGCGGGAATGTAATCCGAAATTTAACTAGGAAATTTTAAGCGGCGGTGTGAAAATTTTAAAATGCAGAACAGCTGATTGTAAGCGTACCTATCGATATTTCTCAAATATCTCCAATAGTGGAAATCGGGCATAATAATCTGTCTTAGCAAATACACCCACCCAAGCAGAGGGCAACGCTACTGCTGTTTTCAAATATTTATCTGAAAAGAAATATCATAACGGTTCAATTCTGTATACAAAAAAATTACTTTGAAAAGCATATATAGACTCTCAACTTTTTCCCATTCACAAGATAGAATAACGAATTCAATTTCCAATGCAATTTAGTTCATTATTTTTGACTTTGTGCATAATTTTTAAAAATTATAAAAAACAAACCAACATTTAAATATGCTTATTTTTGTCCCGAGAAAGCCTTGAAACCTATTAAATATTACTCGATCTTCATTTGTATCGCATAGTTTACGTTTATTTTGTTTGAGAAATGTCTAGAACACCAATAAAGTAAATTCAGTAGCAAACAAGTTGGATTAGTATTATTAAATTTCCACTTGACGTTTGCATTTTATTGCTTTCCATGGCTTTTCTTGACTTAAGAATATGTATATAAATACCAGTAAATATGAGTATATTAATCGTTTCAGTTATGAAAAAGATTCTACAATCCAAATGCCGTTCGTATAACATTGATTATGAGTATTTGCTTCCATTTATTTGGTAGTAAGTAATTCGTTACAGTTGGATAATGGTTTCACAAAGAATATAATACTGCGCATCAGCAACAGATTTGTTATCGCTAGGATACTACATAACTCACATACCATAGGAAAACAATCATAAATAGCTGCTACATACTAATCAACAAATGTTATCGCCCTCTCCATCGGTTATTTGTAATTTTTAAATATTTCTTAAATATTCTCAAGCACTTTGAATACATATTTACGTGGCTTATAAATAATTAAATTTTCATATTTAAGTTGTGTGTACGTTTTCAACGGAATCTCAAAATTGCAAGGAAGATGTTTGACTGATTAGTAGTTTTTATACGTTATCTCTAGAATAATATAGCTAACGATCAGGAATTGTGCTATATAAAAGAAATAAAAGGAAATCAAGAAAATAAAAACAAAGGGAAATAATAATTTTGCTTGGGTTTCGTTTATTTTAGTATCAATTTTCATAGATCTTAGCTAATAAATTCTGCTAGGAAATTATAAAATTAAAAATTCTTTAAAGAATAATATCGAGATTAAGGTTTGATTTTGCTGTTTGTTTTTTACACAAAACGAACTTACAGGACTACAAAATTAATTTGACTAATTTACGAAAAACAATGACGATTTATAAAGCTAAATCTAAACAAGGTTCGAGGCCCGAGCTGAGGAAAGTTTTCTAAGCTAGAAATTTGCACAAAGTGGATATGTCTTTGCGTAGATTTTGGAAAACTTGAAGGCTTTGTCAACTCTGGCTTGGTCCCTTCCCCAGCTGAAACCCTTTTCTTTAAATTCACATAGTCCGAAACTAAATATTAGAAACTAATTTACATTTTAGGCTAATCTTTTGATGCATCTCACATAAAAAATAATGTACATTGGTTTAAGGTTCTAATATGTATAAACTAGGTCTGCATTTTCTACATCCGCATCTTGGTGTTTGTTACCCCCGAATAACAACAAATTGAACAGCTTTATGAATTTTGGTTTTTCGTTACACCACTCCTTCGATCTCCACGATTTTTGGTGTTATCTTCTTGTATAATCCCTTCCTACTAATAAAGTTTAACCTTGACTCTTATACGGCTCCTCACTGTATAATAGCTAATGGTGCAGAGGTATGATTGTATGAGTTATAAAATGATTTCCGTCGAGCTCTGCTGCAGTGGATCGCACTGGTAGGCCTCGGAATTTGGTACGGGCGAGTACTTGGAGTTTCTGTTGCTGGCAGCTGCTGGATTTAAAGATTCAGCCGTGGTGGTGGTGAAGCTATAGGTGGTTCCACATCCATTCAGACTGGTAACGGTGCTGACCAACCCAGGTCCTGGATATTTGGCCACTGTCACAACACTGGCTGTCAATGTGGCCGTGGAGGAGTCATTACTTCCCGAGGTGCCCAGACCCTTTTCGGCAGTGATTTTCCTCCGCACTGGCGTCTCCTGCAGCACAGCTGACTTCCTTATGGTCTGCTGCAGCAGGGCATTCACATCGATTGCTGGCCAGGCGACCAGCGAGACACTTCGTCATAAGGAGTTGTCCACAGGAGAAGAGCTGCGTTTGTGTTTGCCATGAGGATTGCGATTCCAGTGTTTGCAGGACGGTGGCTCCACTTCCTTTTCTTTTGAATCCCTCGCCTCTTTCTTCTCCAGCTTATCCTTTTTATCCTCCTCTTTGATGGGAAAAGAAGTAGCTCCTCCGGCGGTAGATGACAGCGAGAAGTACTCGGCTGACTGGCTCAGTGAAGAGGCGTCTGCATCGGTTACGTTGCCTCCGCCATTATCACTTCGCATGGTATGATCTCCATGATCCGGGTCCATGAAGGAAGACCTCTGGGTGCTGAGGGGTGTTAGTGTGCTACTATGCATATCATCACCCTCTTGGGAAGGTGT